AGAAATTCTCATGGTGAATCATATATTTGTTTCAAGTATCTCAATATTTTAATTTATGAAATCGATTATTTATTTTATAAATAAGAAACATAATATATACTAATATGTCGACTTATATCAATGTTCTATCTTGATAAAACGTCGTCTAAAAATCTTTTAGGAATGATGCTTTGATATAGAGAGGATCTCATAATTATAATAAATTATATTTGTTTTATAGTTACTCAAAAAACTTTTTTTAAGTAATAAACATATAAGAATATGTAAACTCATAAATAAAGAAAACACTTTATTATTTTAATATACAAAATAAATATTAATGTTTTCAATAAAACATGTCGATTGACTTGTAGGGTATACATCGAATTTGTCAATGAAAATATCAATTTAAATATAGTTAAATAGATGAGTTAGACGAGGCTTAAGCTTAGCTTCAAAAAAGAGAGGCTCCATAGGTTGATCTAAACTTAGTCCGGGTTATGAGCACCTCTACCGGTGAATGCCGGAGTGTTGTTGTCCGAGTAAATTTAATCTTTTTCCTTTGGGATCAAGTATCTGATTATGGTTCAAGATACTTTATTTATATTCCATTTTAAAAGATGCATGACTTGGGTAAAATTTTAGGGAGGTGCACCTTTGATAGTTGTATATTATAAAGTAGTATTATTTGCCTTCATAGAACAATTAATTTTTTAATTTTATGATTGATTTAAGTTTCAATAGTTATCAATATTGTATGATACATAATATATGTATAATACAATATGATATGGATGATATAAATCATATATATTATGTTATATTATATTATATTATATTCGATTAAGTATCAAAAGTATACAGTTTGATATGTGATATGTATGGTAATATACAATATAGTACACTTTGACAGACATATTAATTTTATTCTACCCAATAATTAAAAGTATATATTTTTAATTTATGTTATTTTAAATTGAAACATGAAAATTTTTTTAATATGAGTTTTAACTTAATTTAAAGGTTTAGACTCTAGGCAAATATTAAAGAAAAATGAATTCAACTTGTCAAATTTTTTTACTTTTAATTAATAAATTAATATGCAAAATACGTGTATTTAAAAATATACACTATTAAGGAGCATTTTAAGAGGTTGAATTAAGAACTGACCATTTTTTAAATTTATGAAAATAATCTCAAATCTATTAATAAATGTAACACTGTTAATTTTTTTTAAGTTTTATATGTATATATGTTATTTATTAATTTTAAATTTTTTATTGTATCTTATAATATAATATGATATTATATTTAAATAAGATTTCAATATATAATACATGTTTTGATTGAACAAGTATGGTTTTATTTTTTTATTTTTTAGAAAAAATAAATAAAAGACAAAAAACAAAAAAATCAATTAAACAGAACATATATATAAATAGCTGTCAATAAGTTGAAGTCTTTGTGGCCAAAAGAGAAATAAAATGTAAGTGGGAAACTTCAGAATAATAAAGTAATACATCATTGTATGAGACTGTACAGGGGAGAAAATTTGTTATGCTTTGGACTATAATTTTGAGATTATATCTTTAAATCAGCAATTTTTAATGCACTGAATTACATAGGAAAAATATATTATTGGATGGGATTAAATAACGGTTAGTAAAAGCTTTGATTTCACTTTCCCCCAAAGAATTATGTTACTCACATGGCATTGCGTCATGGAAAGTCATGACACAGCGTCGATTGATCTTGGACAGCTCAAGAACTTTGCCATGGACATTCTCAAGCGGGGCTCCCAGGTGTGGGTGACAGAGCTCCTTGGCAACCTCGACAAATTCTTGGACACCATCGAATCCGAAATCTCTACAAACGGCAGCTCATCCTACATCCCACATCTCCAAAGCATGGTCTTCAACTTCCTCGCCAAGTCCCTCCTTGGAGCCGACCCTACCATCGACCCTGACATAGCCAATTCCGCTCCCTTCACCCTCAACTTATGGCTCGGCCTCCAACTCCTCCCCACCATTGTCGTCCGAGTCATTCAGCCCCTGGAAGAAATCTTTCTTCATTCATTCACTTATCCTTACGCTCTCATCAGCGGAGGCTACCAAAAACTCTATGACTTCATTGAACGACACGCTAAAGAAGTTGTACAGCGCGGTGAAATAGACTTTGGCCTTTCCACGGCCGATTGCATCCACAACTTGATCTTTGTTATTGGCTTCAATGCCTTTGGTGGTTTCTCTATATTTTTACCAACATTGTTCGCTGCTATAACCAGTGATAAAACTGGGTTACAAGCCAGGTTAAGGGATGAAGTGAGGAAAATGAGTGGGTCATCAACGAGGTTGAGTTTTGATTCGTTGACAGAGATGGAGCTGGTGAACTCAGTTGTTTACGAAACGTTGCGTTTGAACCCGCCTGTTGCACTTCAATATGCACGAGCTAGGAAGGATTTTCAACTCGCTTCTCATGACTCGGTTTTCGACATAAAAGAAGGTGAGTTGTTGTGTGGGTATCAACCTTTGGCGATGAGAGATGGCAAAGTTTTCAATGAACCGGAGAGTTTTAAGCCGGACCGGTTCGTGGGGAAAGGGAAAGAGTTGCTGAGTAACTTGTTCTGGTCGAATGGGCCACAGACGGGGTCGCCGAGCGAGTCGAACAAGCAGTGTGCGGCAAAGGATTATGTGACTATGTCAGCCTCGTTAATAGTAGCTCGCATGTTTCAAAGGTATGATTCAATTAGCGGAGACTCTAGTAAAATCACAGCCGTTGAAAAGGCAAAGTGATGATGGATAGAAGAATTTTGATGGACCAGTGTTTATTAAAAGTAAGGATATGGAGGTCCCATGGATTCAATGATGTCATTAATGAATGTCGATGATGATCGTCGTTTTCTTCTTTCTTTTCTTATGTTTTTTTTTTTTGAAATACCCCTAATTAAATTAACTTATAGGGAAATAAATGATGAGAGAGGTGTGCGAAAGCCTGGGCCCTGGAGAGGATGGTCATTGGGTCGTGGTCATTGACATTGTCTTTTCCTCTCCAGGAGGCCCAAGACGAAATTTGTTTCCCCTGACATGACAACGATGGAAAACCTGCTTGGTTAACACTTGTGGTCACAAACACTCCGGTTTAAGATGCCGCAATGCTACTGCTATCCTATGTCTTTTCTTGACGTATCAATCAAAATAATGCTTTAGATTTATCAACTTTTTAAAGTTGTCGTTTTTATGAGTAGTCAAAATAACAATTAAATATAACTATCGCCCTAGATGATCAATTATTCATGACGCTTTTTACAAAGTAATTTAAAAGGAAAAAAAAGAAAAACCGGAGATTACTGGTTCATCCAAACCCAACTTAAAGGGAAGGAGAGATCAACAGACTGTTGTGAAGATGAAAAGAAAATTAAAGCCCACAAAAGGTCCAAATTCAAATGGTGTAAAACCTGAAAGAAGCCAACGTGGCCCGCCTGTCATTGCCGAGTGCGCCAGGAGTAAGGAAAAACAGGGAAAAATCTTGTACAACTGCCGCTGCCAAGATAATCAGGATATCCCCAAATGATTGAAAATTAAGAAAGATTAATGATAAATTCCAGTTCATAGTTTACATTCACAGGTCAATCATAGATGATAATTCCTAACTCGTTCTAGTTGAGCTCCTTTACCATTGAAATTTATAAATATGAATTTCTTATAATATTTTGATAAATCTTAAGCAATGCATGATAGTAACTAAACAACTATATACAATGATTGTAGATGATATACTCTCTTGTTACACACCCATGGAACAGGATTCAATTTCAAAAGTAGAGACCAGAATTCTCAAAGTTTAAATGCTGTGTTTCAACGTACATTCAAACATTTGATTTATTAGTTGATATATAATTTTCACCTCAAAAAAAAATAAAAATCAAATTCCCTTCTCCAAATATATTAAAAAAAAAATGCTATTCTTCAACGTAATATAATTATAAGGACAAAGCCGAGTTTACCAGCATCTTACCAACATCACTTGCAGAGACCACCCAACGCGTTGGAATGAAGTACCGGTGCTTGAGAAAATTCTCAATGCTCAAAAGGACTAGGAAACAACCGCAAGTACTAAACAACAAAGTTTTCACTAGCAAACAAGTTTCATAGTCCCACTTTTCTTTGTTCTCTCAAGAATTATAATCACTTTTAAGAGCCTTACAAGGGTGCCTAAAATTTAAAATGGTTTTACAAGAGCAATTTTCACCAGAATGCTCACATGCAGGGAAATTAGGGCTTTACAAACAAGGTGGTTGTTTTAAGTGGCTCCATTAAAATAAGAATAACTATACTTGTGATCATTCATAAGAACTAAATTGGGACTGCCTATAGGATACACTCTGGAATTTATGACTATAAGGCCCGCCTTTGCGGTAATGCAATAAGATGCACCGGAATCAACATGCAGAGCAATGAGCAGTGTTTAAAACGTAATACACTTTTTAATAATTTTCCATGAGGCCATGGTGGATCATTTAGACAGCCTGAACATTACCCTGTGACTGCATTCGAGAGTTGGTAACCACTTCTCTCCATCCTTTTTGACGAGCTCTTAATTCCCACATTGTTGTCAGTTTCTTTTGAGCTGCCAGTGCAGCTTCAGCTTTCTCCCTTGCTTCTTCACATGTTTCCATACCTGAATTGCACTTGTCTGCTTCCTTTTGATACTGTGATGCTATCTTCTTAGCCTCAAGTAGTGCCATGTCAGCACGTTGCTGACTTTCCAAAGCTTCAGCTTCTCTTAGCTTCAATTCTTCTGTCAAAAGATCTGCAAAGTTCTTTTCAGTATCCTCACTCACCTCTGGATCATGCTTCGTGCAATCTGCAGAATATTTAAATTTAACCATGAAGACACTGTCCATATAAAACATTAAACCAAAATGCTAATATCATCATGGAATAAAATCTACTCTGCAATTAGTACAAATCTTTAGAGGAAGGCAGTGGTTTTTGTCAATGGGATAGGAGAGGATTACTTCATTTAATATCACATCCATATGCAAATTATCTTAGATCACATACTACCACAATATCAATTATCAAGTAATTTCAATTGAAATTAAGAGTGAAAATAACAGTACCATCCAAACAAAATCTAAGTCCAAGAAAAGTTCTTAATTATTTCTTAAGCTTCAATATGAACTTTTATTTATAAAATACATACTCTCACCACCAATTCCTTTGGCTTATATTGCTCACGGTTCCTAAAGATTAATAACAAAGATAATACATTTCTCTGAGCACCCTACTGTCAACCTGCATTTTAGTCTCCTTCTTTAGACAACATAAGAAGGTAAAAGAAGAAAGCAGAAAGTGGGATTTTGTTTGTCTTATCATTCTGTAGAAAAGCATTTTCTTTTTCTGCCAGACTTACTACTTGATCTCATTTAGGTGTTATAGCAACAAAGTTCAATTTCACAATATTATTCATTTGCAATCAATCACATAGAAACATGGCTTGGTCATGCCACTGTTACATAGCAGACTCGGAACCAATCATAAAGAAACATTGTTACATTTGCAAAAACACCATGTTCAGTACTTTTCATGTGGCTTGAGGGCAATAAGTGCACAAAGACAGAAGGATAAGAGAAATTTGGAAAATTACTGATCTCAGTTCATTATATATATAAGGCATAAAACATCTTAAAGCAAAAATGAAACCTGAAAGAAAGCCATGGGAGAAATATGGTCACACAGTAACCAAGAAATCATGAGTCAGTCTGCTGTCATAACAAGATTAGAGCTGATCCAAAAGGCATACATTTAAAGAAACAAGTGTTTTACCCAGTGATACAATCATTCTCTAATTTTCCTAACAAACTTTTCCATTTGTTCTCTCACTAATACGGTGTTGAGCTGATGACCAAAGATGAATGTCACCAAAAGACAAGGAAAAGGAAACCTTAACCTGATGTACCCCTCACTCCATCTCTCTCTCTCGCTCCCCTTTGATCAAAACTAATACATGACAGATAGAACGGTAGAAATGAGAAGAAAAGCAAACATTGGACAACTCTTAGTATTACATGCTTATGCTTATGCAGACCAAAAATCACCAATTTTTTGTTGATTTACGTTACTTATTCCCATATTCCAATAAATATATCCTTGATATAGAAACTGGAAACTGACCTGCAAAGGAAGCATTGCTCAGTCCTGCACAAATTAAAGACAGAATCACAAAATTAGCATAAATTTTAGAGAGAACAAAATATGAAAGATCATATAATCAGCACCTAAGAACCAATTGCAAATTTTTGAAAAAACCAAGATAACAACGGAAACTTGGAATCTCACAGGGCAAATAGTGCACAAAATGCTAGTAATTCAAACCAATAAACATAAAAAAAACCCATCCAGAAAAAAAAAAAAGAAGAGAAAAACGTGAAGAGCAACATCAAAGTCATGTGAGCACGCATAAAACAGGCATAAGTTTCAACAATTGTACGCATCATTAGCGACCAATATCCATGTAGCCAAGGGTATCGTGCTTTACTAAGTAAAATCTCATTTATTTATAACAGAAGCAACATAGAATAAATGTAGTAAGTAAAAGATTGTGACGTTAGGGCAAATGCCACAGTTAACTTCACAAATGTTACCCAGATTAGGCAGGAAAACGGGATTGTTATATAAATGGCAAACTCATCCAGCGCAAATTAGACATTGGCATTAAGTAATTGTGGATTCGCTGAATAAGAAGGAAATTACAGGATCTCCATTCACCAATTGTAGATAAATGTGGCATGAATAGGACGCACATAAACACACTTTGAAACAACAAAAATAAATTTCAATTTCAGATCGATACACAAATGAAAAGAAGACAAGCGAAAGAAATGCGATCTAGCCCAGATCTGGAAATACCTTCAGGAATCGTGAGGAGAGGCTGAGAAGAGCAATCGCAAAGGCACGGAGGGCAAGTGTTGGAGGAGTGGCTGACGGCTGCTAAGCCTTCCATGAAATGCCAGTACAGAGGTGGACCCACTATGTAGCCGAACAAACACAGACCCATTAGACCCAACCCCACCTTCAACGCCGCCGCTTGGTTCACTGCCATTTCTTATTTCCGAGAAGTCACTTTTTTGGGCTTACTGGAAATCAGACGAGGAAAGATTTGGTCAAGTTGTCTGGGTTCGGAGATCAATTGATGCGGCAGTCGGCATATGTCAAATCCTAGCTCTGCTTCTTCTTGCTGGATACTGATTTATTTAGTTTTTTTTTTTTTTAATTCAAACGGTTTTAGACAGTCGTAAATTTGTGAGAGGGTTGTCAATCACTATATGGAAGTTGCAATGAATGGAGTGTCAATGTGAACAAACTGTTCTAGCTGGTGGCAGCAACGCGTAGGACCATGCTGCATGGGCCCAGTCTTGTTCAAGGAAAAAGATTTGATAAATTTCACGATCCCCATCCCCGTGGCACCATGAAGCCCCCCAACGTCTCAAACTTTGGGCCGTGCACCGACTTAAGCCTACCTTACTAAATCAAAATAAAGCCACTATATACACAGTTACGCCTAATATGATGTTTGAGATATAATTATACAATTTTATTAACCTTATTATTATTTTTAAATATAACTAACTTGTTTTTCAAAAATTGTAATTTAAAATAATTATTGAAAAATCTTATTTTATTAGTAACTATTTCTTTTAGTCACATATTGCATGGTTTATTCGATAGATGCTTTCAATATTTATTTTGAAATAACGTATCACTGTGCTCAATAATTTAATAAAAGGTGCAATAGTAAAACACATTCGTATTTGTTACTAAACGTGATGCGTTGTTTGACTGGCAAGGGAAACGCTGCGTTTCCAAAAGACCCGGAAGCGAAGCTACATAAAAACGACGCCGTTTACAAGGAACCCAAAGACCACCCTCCGCCCCTCAGCCTCTTGCAAATGCAAAACGATGAGACGTATGAAAGCCTAAAGCAAAAAATGGCGGTTGAAATCCGAAGGATCTAATAACCCAACTCCAGATCTCACTCCGCAAACAAGCCAGCGTCCCTTCCTACGATCCAAACGACTCATCACTCCCCAATCTCCCTTCCCTTCCTCACTTAATCTCCGACTCTCCCCACTTCCGCTGCCTCCACTGCAAAGCCCATCTCCTCCGGCCCGACTCCCTCCTTTGCATTTTCTGCGAAATGCCAGTCCAATAGCGAGGCGCCACCTGAGCCCATCAAATTCAAGTCCACTTCCGGTTACCGCTGGTTCCTCCGCTCTCTCAACTTAGATGGATCTGTAAGTCACTCTCTTTCTTGTTTATCTGTTCAAGTTTTATATTATTATATATCAAAATTAGGGCCGTTAGTTGCTCTTTGAAAAGTCTTAACAAAATAGAAACTGGGGGTTGTAGGAAACGGTGGGAGAGTCTTTGGAAGGGAATGAATGGAACAGAGGACCGCGACAGGAGTCTCCATTATCTGATCTTTTAGATTTAGAAATAAGGTGGAATGATGCCGAGCTGGATAGTTTTGAATCTAGTTTGAGAAAGAATAATCCTTTGAATTTGGCTGGACTTGATCTTGATGATGATTTTTTAGCTGAAAGGAAAGGAGATTCTGTTTCAATACCAACCCAAGGGACATTGCCTGTAAAGAAAGAGATTGATTCTACTGGTAGTGAGTTTCAATCTCGTCAAAACCTTAGTTTATTGAGATACAGGTTTCTAAGAGTAGTGGTTCTGTTTCTGTTGGCAGGCTGACTTTCAGTCTGCTGATCTAGAACAGATCATAATGCTATAGCTCCCTGTCGTTGATCCTTTTCCGGTTCCTCAAAAGATCTTTCTGCCCATGTGGACACGGTCTCTGGAAGGTTAACAATTTGTTGCTGGAAAAGAAGATGACAATCAATCTTCTTCCGAATCCAAAACAAACAACTGGTTTCGTGATGATATGCAGAGTAATTCCACTTTAGGGGTGAGGATAGACGAAGCAAATATTTCTTCTTCTGCGAATGTTGACTGGATTCAAGGTGATCAAGGACAAAGCACTGGCAACAATGCCCCTGACAAGAGAACTACTAATGATGATGATGATGATTCCTTTGATGCGTGGAATGATTTTAAGGGTTCCACCAGTGCACCAGATGCTGCTAAAAGTTATCGGGACCAGACTACTGATGGTGTCAAGTCGATGAATGACAAAGGTCATGATTCTTTTTCTGGATGGGGGGCTGGCTCTGAATCTACTGCTTTTGAAACTCAGCATGAGGTATCCAAATCTTTTGATAATTTTGCTGGTTCTTCTGCCGACCTTTCTACTCACATGGACAGTGTCTTTGGAACAGGAAAAGACTCATTTCATGGAAAAGCAGTAGATAACAGAACTTCATCTCACACTAATTGGTTTCAAGATGATCTATGGAGTAATTCCACCTCAGGGACTGTTCATCATGCTGAGCAATCTGATTTGAATGTAGGTAATAAGGATGATGGGATGTTAGGAAATACAAAATCTCCCGTGAGTGTAAATGGAATTGAAGATGATCAATGGCCAACAAGTAGCAACAAGGCAGCGGATGACAGAACCAATGATGAAGATGATGATTCATTTGGGGCTTGGAATGATTTTAAAGGCTCAAGTGCCTGGGGTTCTTCGATAAGTTCTTGGAAAGAACCTGCTAACCGTTCCAGTTCTACCGAAGAGAAGAGCAGTGACCCTTTTCAGGATGGGACACTGACTTTCAATCTGCTAGTTCTAAAAATCATCATGAGGGTTCCAAATCATTTGATCCTTTAGTGGGTTCCTCAGTTGATCTTTCTGATCACATGGATACTGTCTTTGCATCAGGAAAAGATTTTGTTGATGGAAAAGTGAAAGATGGCTCCAACGTTTCCAACACAAACAATTGGTTTCAGGATGATCTATGGAGTAATTCTACCTCAAAGGTAACTCGTCAAGCTGAAAATTTTGATGCAACTATTGATGTTATGGATTCTGGAACAGCTCAGAGTATGCATAATTCTCCCTCAATGAACGTTGATTGGTTTCCAGATGATCAATGGCTAACTGGCAACAACAAGGCACCTGATAGAAAAGCTGTTGACAAATCAGACAATTCTTTTGGTGATTGGAATGATTTTAAAAGCTCAACAACTATGCAAGATGCTTTTAGTGATCCTTCAAAACAAGCTGCTAGACCTGATAAAATGACAATTGATGATGATGATGACTTGTCTGGTGCTTGGAATGATTTTACTAGCTCAATTAGTGCAAATGATCCTTCAAGTATGTCTTTCAAACATACTGTCAATCATGAGAAGCCTTCTATTGGAACTTCAGAAATGCACGTCTTCGGTATGGATAGCAATTCACATGACAATAATTCTGGTAATTTATCTCAACCTGATCTCTTTTCAAGGTCATTCGGCAATCAAAATGGCTCTGTCGAAGCTCCCGTTTCAAGCAGGTGTGTGTGCTTGTTCTGTCAATTTCCTTCTAATTGAACTGAAATTTTGAAGCATCCTGCTAACCGTATTCCAATTCTTGTCTTTTACCTTTTTTATGACTTGGTGCTTAGATATTCTACTTCATTACCGTATTTGCATTTTTCAGTTTTTAGTCAATTATTTTGTTGTTATTGGAATTACTTGAGAGAATATATTGGGAAGATCAAACAAAGATAAAACAGGTGGAGCTCCAGAGATCAAGTTGAATGATAGCTGAATTAGGAAAAGACTTACCACTTATTACTGCTTTCTGAGTTTCTTGCTAATATGCTGATGTCAGTAACATTTTTTAATTAGTGAAAGTAGAGTGGGGGTAGAGTGCATATTTATTAATGCTATCTGATAGGTTGGATGAGGGGCTTCTTTACAAGGCTGTTATACTCCTCTGTGTATTGTACAATGCATTTTTTGAAAAGAAAAATAATTGCACCTATGCAACTTGGAGACGCCTCCTTGGCTTAGGACATTAGGCAAAATTTGTTTGCTCATATGGAGGGATACTGGTCTGGTGTTCTGGCTTAGGATGGAGGATACTTGTTTCATATGAAATAAATAAATCTAATTTATTTTGGAGGATAGCCGCAGCTATTGTCCCTCTGTCAGGGTGGAGTTCTTAAAACATCACAGTATTGCTGCGAATAAGGAGGCTTAATTGAACGCAAACAATTGTGTTTAAAGTCATCTATAATCATAAGTTGGTTGAATTTGCTTGCCTGTAATATGCACAAAAGTATGTCTAATTTATGCTAACGAGTGGATGATATTTTGCATCCAAGATTTTACATTTGATCAAGACTTATTTTAAAACAAAGAAAAACTGTGCTGAAACCTAATTTGTAGTCCATCCCCACCCAAAAAGATGTACTTTTTGATTAGCGGAATTTGGATGAAAAAGATTAGTTAGGTTAAGACTAAACTTTATGGGTATCTTGTTATTTGTGACTTCATCTATGCAGGGGATGTAAGTGGCCATATCATCTATGCTTTGTGCCAAGATGCTTTTCACTTTTGCTGGAAGAATTTTCAAATTGTAGATTGACTATTCTGTGCTTTGCCAGATTTCTCCTGAGTACTTTTGTTGTTTTGACCTTGGGAATTTATTTGTTTTTTTCTTCGAATTTTTGAGATTGAGAACCTCTTGGGCTTCTTTTGTGAAAAACCTGTTTTGGATCTGTGGGAATAGTCTTAAATGTTTCTGTTCTACTGCTTGCATATAAGGCCATGGAAACTACTCGATCTTGTTTTCTTCCTAGTGAAGGTCATGTAAAATCCAAGCTCCCCTTGCACATGAGAGTCAGACAGAACTTAAGGAGAAATTTCTTATATTTGCTTTCACATGTTTCAGGATGGCCGATGCAAGTGTAAGAGGTGGTAGTAATACTGAAGTTGCAAAAAATGGAGGTTTTTCCAGTGCAACAACAGGGTCAAAAACAGATGATATAGAGATACTGATGTCACAAATGCATGATTTATCCTTTATGTTGGAAAGCAATCTTTCAATACCTCCAAAACTTTGTAAAGATTGAGAGCCATTTTTTTTCCCTCTCAAGTTGGTATTGTTTTGTTGGTTCTTGTCTGCTCTGTATCCTAGTTTTGATTGGTCCATGCATCTGAAATTCTTTCCTGCATCCAGTGGTCGTATGGCTTTGTTCTTCCTCTGATATTAGAAGAATGTATTATGAAATGATTAACGAACTTTTCTTAATAAACGTGGTTTGTAGATGTTGTTTTTAGTTCAAAAATACGAGAAAAGTTGCTTCTGCAATATCGCGAGGGTTGTAATTTTTCTTTAAATTTTTGAAAGGTACAAATAGATTGGTCAAATACCAAAAATAAAATTTCTTTAAGAAAATATTTAGGAGAAAACAGAAGGAAAAAGCATTTTGCTTTGTAGGGAAAATGTCTAGACAACTACAAACCGCATTTTAGAAGACATTAGTCTGAGGTCTAATCTCAACAATGCCTGCAATGTGTGTAAAATGTGAGTAATGAATATAGACAAAGGGGTAATGGAAACAGCGAAGTCGAGCAAATTGGCATGTGATACTGTAAACTGATGATAATCGGGGTACTTATGTAGTTATGCCTAGCATCTCTCCAGATTGGGCATTAGAGAAGCAACGCCCATAGCCTATGGAGGTGAGTTACAAGCAGCCGGTACGGGCTTATATTTAGTCTACATTCATGCAAAGGTGCATGTCTATGCAACAGAGTAAATCTAAAACTTGTGTCGTATGTTCCCAATGATGCCCTGGCCAGCCTGAACAAGGTAACTGCATTCTGCATCATAAGTGCCCCGATGAGTCGCCGGTTGGTTGTGTTCTAGACCTCTGGCTGGCTTTTAATTTGGAAATCAATTTTTGTAGATTACTATGGGCTACCTGGTCACGCTGGAAAGGAAATTAGCATGGGGAATTAATTAATTATTATGTAAAGGCAATTTTCTCTGGCTTAATTGCAATTAAAGATTATAATTAAGAACAAGATTTGATAAAAATCTGATTCAATTGTTAGCCTTGTGTTGGAAATTTCACGATATGTTTCTAAAGGACTTACTTCAAGGATACCAATATATGTGTCATCTACTAACTTGGGAGGAATGTAACCTGAGAAATAGGCACGTGCCCTACATTTTGAAACAAAAAGAAGTTTCAAGCCATTAGAGGCTGGACAGGTAAATTATTGAAAGATAGTTATCAAAGGAAGATGCATTTAGCTAACCTGTCGTTGTCTGACAGCCTGAGATAACAAGAAATGATGTTTCTTAGCAGTCGTGGGCGATGCCCTTCTTCCTCTTCACCAAGCCTCTCAACCATTATTGCCAATGCATTGTTTAGCGAGAAAAATCGATCCGCAGGAACCAAACAATAGTGCAGCCCTTGCTCATTTAGTAAAATCCTGTGAATTATAAATGTGGCAACCTGTCGAGTCCGATACATTAGCAGCTAGCATGAAGAGTATGGCTAAGGAGCACGCATGCCAAGGTGCAGTAATGCCATGCCAAGTGAGGTCCTCAACTCTTTGGTTTTATTCTGAAGGTCCTTCTTAAGCTCATTGTCATGGCTAAGGTATCCTGGCGCTTCTTTAGATAAATTTACTGTTCTGATTTTTACAGTGAAAGTGTGGCATAATAATGCACACAGTAAACAGAAATTTCAAACGTCCCTAGTAAATTTTTGTGAGATTTCAACAAATGTGCTACGTATTTTAACCATACATGATCATAGGAGAACAATAAAGAGTCCTAATAAATTTTCAAACTGCTCAGAGGTTTTCCCTCTCAATAATTGTCATGCCAGAAAGTACTTTTTTCCAAAGGGGCCTGAAAATAATGTCAAAATTAATATAACTCTCCCAATCAAAAATATTTCTTCCTTAAAACTTAAGTCACTAGGTATGTTGTTTGATTCACTTTTGCCATTTTCCCAGTTTTCTGGGCCAATGCTTTCAAACTCTAAAATTTCTACTTGTCTCAGTATCCTATGTTCTTGATATTTTGATCAAGATATATAATGTATATAACTAAATTCTAGGAAATGTATTTACTTTAAATCTATTAAAAGATGAAAAACTTATTAGAACCCAAAACCAAAGTCTTATGTAAAATAATTTAGGATGGAAATATTGACAATTAATTGTAATTAATAATAAATGTAAACATATAAACCTAGTTGAGGAAAGTCCAGTCACTCACTGTTTTTGATAATGTGCTGCCAACCTCCATGCAGCGCAGGCAACTAGGAAATGTTTGAGAAAAAAGAAGGAAATCAACCACTTCTGCATCATCAACCTGCGTAAATTGAAAGCCTGATAAACATAAATATGAAGAAACTAAAATAATGCCAACTAAAGAAAATTTAATTAAACTCCATGAGTTCTAAAGATCATGTACTTATCCTGGGCCCTGTAACTATATTCAAAATTTCAAACCAAAGATAAGAGTTGTGCCAGAAATGGAACCATGTAACAGAACATCAGATGATATGAGGTAAGATTACCTTCACTAGGGAACCGATGACAACTAAGCTGCTCAGCCTCAGAGAATCATAGGGCTTTTCACGGTTCATAGTGTTCAGGAAGGCCTGAAGATACACTGGTATGTAAGCTGCCCAGGATATTTAAATTAGAACAGTTTTTTATACACCCAAAATACAACCAACAAAATTATATATGGTATTTGTACTCCTATTGCATCAAAAGAAAATTTCCTAATTATCGGATCACAACAAGGCATGCTGGTACAAAGAGCTTCTTTTGGAAAAGTCTCCCTCACTCTTTCTGATTATACAATTGAAGCAAAACCCTACTGAATTTGAAGATTTGCTAGATGAAGTTCTTAATGTATTCGCATATTTGGATAATTATAATAAGAGTATAATAAAGTTACCTTTGACAAATGGCATCCTTGTTTCGGGGTGAGCAGCTACAGCCTGGAAAGAGATCATTTCAAAGAAATGAAAATTAACATAATCTAAAAATTTATAGGTATATCGATCAATACTGGCAAAAAAAAAAAAAAAAACTGTCTGGCATGTGATGATACCTCTCTGTCCTTTAAAATGAAAACTGAGACTAACCACTCAAAATCTCTCAGCAATATATATTTGCATCTAGATGTCTCAAGAAATATGCCCCCTCAATTTGTCCATAACTGATATGAATGAAGAATATCCGATTCATTGCAGGAAGGTTTGTTATCACCTCAGAATCACCTTTGACATTATTAGCTCCAGTCTTTGCTTAAAAATATATAAAATGCTTAACATTATAGTATATAGATGATAATTTTAATATGAACCGGAAAAGAAAATATATAAGAAACCTACATAATATCGGAATCCGAAAAGGAGATGTATTGGTGAAATTTCAAACGTTAGCCTCTGAATTTCCTTAACAAAAACTATTGATGAGTCGAGGCTAATAATCAAAGTGACATAGGAGAGACAGGAGCAAGGAGAATAAAAGGGGATCAATAATAAACAAAACGAGAAGAGGTCAGCATAATGATCTATACCTGAAGAAGCGCAATAGCATTGCAAACTTGAGCTGCTACTCTTTCTGAAAGGCTGGTGGATGATAGTGGACGGTAAACTGAAGTTACTTCCTGAATAATGAAAAGGTAAATAATCATATAGTATTGAATAGGTGTGGGCATTGCATCTATCAATAAACCTTTCAAATCCATGAACACTGATTAGTACAATGGGTAAAATAACAGGACGAAAATTTTAAAGAGACACATGAAACGTCCTAACTGAGAGACACTAGAGAAATGAAATAGCAAGACCCACCTCTACAAGTGCTCTCATGGTACCGAAAGAATTCCATAACAAGATTGCCAAATCGTCACAAACTTTCAAATAATTCTGGGGAGAAAAGAAAAAAAATTAAAAATGATTGATGAATTAGTTACGTTCCAAAATCATCTGTCAAAGTGTTTTCATTGTTAAATACATAAAAATGGTGGCATTTTATATAAAAAAAAATTCTAAACTTATGTACTAAAAATGAGCCAATCCAGCAAATTCAATGCTCATTACTAGAAAGGCTTATATCTAATTGATATGAGATCTACTTTTGATAGAATAAGACCTTAGAAGAAATATTCAACTTGATTTATCCAAAGGAAAAAGGAAATATCCAAATCGACCAGCTTCATTGCAACTGATCTCTCTCAAATTTCATGTTTTCGAGAACCCAATACAGGCATGGTGGTACCTTGTAAGATGTTCATTAAGTGTCCAAAAGAAAATCGGACTATACTATTTATTTGTCTGTATGTATGCATCTATGTGGGTATACTCTCATAATTACATTGAGAATTTAGAATGTCGTTTTATTCGTCCAATTGCTATATATCTGTGCATGCCAGTTTGTTTATGTCCTTTGGATCCCTTGAATAAGTTTTCGAGCTCTACCCCTTTTCAATCTTGACAATATTTACATTGAATTGTTTTAAATTATTCTCTAATAAGTAATATTTTATAGAATTTTAGACCATGGCTTTTTACTCTTATCCATTATTTTCTTGGAAAAACCCTTCAAAAACATAACATTGATTGAAAGCAACATGTTATCTTCTAGAATATCTGCAATATGCTTATAATTCTATGTTGAAATTGAGCTTTAATGAAAGGCTCTATCTAGGAGCAACTTAATTATCACACTAACATGCTTCTAAAATCTAACATTAAACCGGTGTCTCTGTGTTAACCACAAATTTCAAGTCAAGAGTCAAAAAATGATCTATTTGCTTTTTCGTGTTTTCCTTTTACAGGATTTTACGTTTAAGAAGCATGGTTAATAATAAGCAATAATAACAATATCTAATCCCCTGCTGTATGACAATAAAGAATCCCTACATTGTACATACCAATACTGTATTAGTTCAAATTCAAAACATAATCATGATGTTTCAACTCTTTCTCCTAACTTTCTACTTAATACCACCTTAATCTGAAAGCCCGATGATTCACTTTATAGTTGATCAACTTCAATAATTTCACTATAAACTCTTGTCAAACAAAATTTAAAAACAATCACCAACAATCCATCATTGCTTTTTTACTTTGAAGTTTATAGTAGTTTATTTTTCAACTTATAGCAGGAGGTGTAAAAACATAAGGTAAAACTTATGATCTGCTGAGAACCCCATTACCTTTCATTATCTATAAACAACACAGAAAATACAAAAGATAACAATAAAGCCTTTGCCATGCATCAGATTCTTTCATAAAATGAGGATCTACATTAATAGTATTAAACAAAAACTGCTCCGGACATAATAATGGCCCCAAATTAAGCATATAATAAAGAATATATCAAAACAGTAAAATAAAATAATTGTACACTCTTTTAAGATTTTTTCTTTCATGTTTGAAAAAAGAGTTAAGCAGATTATAAAGAATATATCAAAACAGTACAATAAGACAATTGTATACTCTTTTAAGATTTTTTCTTTCATGGTTTAAAAAAGAGACACGTTCTAACTTTTTCTATGGTTTTTGTCGTATTTGATCATGACTCTTATTCCCCGCAGCCAAACAGATAATTGCAAAGGAAAAGAAAAAGAAAGAAAGCTGATGATACCTTGCAAAGAAGGTCAAGAGACTCCTTTCGGGTTTTTTCAGAATTAAGCCCTCGAATCAAACGAGTGATCTCAGAGAGGTTTCCATCATGACGAGCAGAA